AAAAACAAAATGACGTGCATCAAGGTCCTATTATGTTTAATGTATGTACCAAATTGAACAAAATCCGTCCATGCATAACTGAGATCCGGGTCCGGAATGGTGAAAATGTGCGATTTTGATGCATTTTCGGCCTTAAAATGGCCGCTATTCGGCTATCGTTAATGAGATCATGAAACAAATGCACATACATATTTGTGACATGATGTACCTTGTGTGTGTGAAGTTTGAACTCGATCAATCCAAGCATGTCTCAGATACGGATCCAGAACTGAATTCTTTAAAACAAAATGGCCACCAGTCGGCCATTTCGAACCCGATCCAAAAAAAAAAAAATGACGTGCATCAAGGTCCTATTATGTTTAATGTATGTACCAAATTTGAACAAAATCCGTCCTTGCATAACTGAGATCCGGGTCCGGAATGGTGAAAATGTGCGATTTTGATGCATTTTCGGCCTTAAAATGGCCGCTATTCGGCTATCGTTAATCGGATCATGAAATAAATGCATGTGCATATGTCCCATATAAGGTGTGATGTATGAGTGAAGTTTGAACTTAATCGGTCCATGCATGTTCGAGATACAGGTGATCACGGACGCACGGACGCACACAGGGCAAAACATAAGTCCCCGTTTTCGGACTGCGTCCGAACGGGGACTAATTACTCTCATAACCATTGTAGGTAAAGAAACAATTTATTGTAGCCAAATCTGAATGAATTCGCCATTTTATCAATTTTCAAACTCCATAACTATAGTGGGATGTTTTTCGGGAATACAATATCTATGTATGATTTTTTGTTGTAACTTTAGTGTGCTAGGAAGGAGCATAACTAGTTGTGTCACAAAAAAGTTCTGTAAGTCAGCGACGCATCAGAATGTCTTAGCGGGCACACTGGTCAGCCACAAATAAGTGATATTATATGGTGTAGAAAAACAATTTGTTATTATTTACATGTAAACACTACATACCTGGTGTTCTTCTGGTTGTTCTATATCACTACTTGGCATATTCTGATCACCACTACCTAGATTTACTGGATACATAGCTCTGATTGGTTTAGGTTTGATTATAGGGTGCTTAGATACATCACTACTACACTGTTCTTTCTCTATCAATACAAGCTGGCTCTCTATAAACAGATAAAAAAACAACACACTCAGAAATACTAATACATACATACATGTATGCACAACAAAAGGATGCAATGGGCAGTGGATTATCCAGGACTTGCATTGGAAATTCACCTATCAATTAAAAATATCTTAGCCTTGTTCATTATCACCAATCTTTTTTTCAAACATTTCAGCTTTGTTGCAAAATTCGGGCTTTGTTGTCACAAGAGATCCTGAGTGGGTGTTATACTGTTCATACCATCTTCTGTCAGCAATGCTCATGTTGGTTGGGCCAAATGTAAACAAATGATGTCACAGCATGCCGGCTATACACGATTCTAATCTAATGTATTTAAATCTTACCTGGTGAATCACCATTTCTTTTCTGTCTTGACAACTCCACAGCAAGCCTCTGTTGACAAAAGAGACAGACAGTCAGTCAGTGGGTGAATTTCAGATGTTTTTAAAACGGAGGGTAAATCAGTTTTAACGTTCACTATCATCCAAATAGGTATTTATTGCCATCACTACACAACAATATTACACATATACGGTTTTGGAAACCCCACAAGCCTTTCACAGATGTTTAATCCCCATAATGAGCAATGGATAATTAGCAAATGCAATCTCATTGAACCTTCATACTCGTAAACAAAAGTTTGCAAGTATAAAATAAATGTGAAAACAAGACCCTTAACTTCAACAACATTAGATAGGAATGCATGCCTACAATGTTTCAACTAGAACTATGAGTAGCCAATTACAGACATGTGATTTTTCAAAAATGGACACATTATTTTTGTGTAATAGGGTTAGGGTTACTGTATGTTAGGTTTAATATATTTATTCTCACCATTTCCCATGAACGGTTTTAGTGCATAATGATTAAAATCACTTTAAACCCCATCCCGTTTTGTCATACAAATGCTTTAATTACCCACAGCCACCCAAGTCTGATTGTATCAATGAAATCTGTCACATCTTATAATGCACAAGTATAGAACTAAGAAATGACATGCAAGTATCAAAATCTAGGCAACACTTGGAAGTATGAAACATTATGGATATAGCCTTACCTCCTTGAGGTCAATAACCTGGGCCATATACTGCCTCTGTGCAGACTCAGTTTGGTTGATATACCACTGTTGATCACGACATTTTTGGTAAAACGTTGGTGGACGGACTTGAAATTGTAAAATTAGTACATCATCCAATAGATACCCTTCACTAGCAAGGAGATCAAGACGGAAGAATCGGTTATATCCCCAGCATTCACCAACTTCAAAATCAGAGGCAAATTCTCGTACAATGTTTTTGCTGCTGTCTGGGGAAGCCTGGTGCACCATTTCAACTCTGTACTCATACCTAGAATGAATAAGGCATCAAACTGTTATGATATTTGAGATATCAATATTTGGGATAAAAACTCAGGATTGGTAATGCCAGGTTTGAACTCAGAATCTTCCTGATGCTTGGATACCATATATCCTATTATTCACATATAAAACTTAGTACGATAAGTGTTATTGAGAAGGATACTTGTGTTTTGAAAAAAAAAAGACTGCAAAAATCTTAAAACCGGGGTTGAACCAGATTCCCAGCAATAAGAAACCGAAAACAGCTTCCACAAATGCATTTCAAACAAAACTTCCATTTGAGCAAATGTAATTGGCAATTCATTTCAGATGTCATAAAATTCCAAGCCTTGCTTTCAAACTGCCGAAAACAAATTGATAGCGAAATCCTATGTTTTATATCATTAAAGTGGGCCTAAAAGTGAGGCTTGGAACACAAATTATGGCATTCAAAGCATTAAAAACGGCTGAAAACTACAAATGCTGATTATACAGTCGATAGAACTTCATTATTACTGAACCGAATGACATTCACAGCAGCATCGACTTACTTTGAAGTTTCAGGTAAACCAGCTGACAATTCAAGAAATACAGAAAGATAATTTCCTCTTACTACTCCATTGCCATCCTGAAATAAACAAATGAACATCTTTACCTGATGAAATGTATGCATTAATGGACATACATTGTACAATGGGATAAACAAAAGAGCTTGATCATCATGACAACAGTGAAATTTAATTTCCAAAGTTGAAATGGCAATAAAAATGGGATTAAAATTTTGTAAGTTAAAATGACAATAAGATTGGATCAATAACATTGGTTAAATTGCTTTAAAGTAATGAATTCGGCATGTAACTGTAACACATTAAATTACTCATACTGGTAACAGTGTTCTCTTTAAAAGAGTAACAACGCCTTCTAGAAATGCTCAAATCTTGCAAAATTGGATAACTCAAATCTCATCTATCATGTACTCACAGGATAAACTTTTAGTCTCCAGCTAAGTCCAGATACATTCAATGGCGGACTGTACACTGGATCAGCCTTTGCCTGCATATTACTGAAAATCAAATTTTAGAATTATACATTTAATCAGTTCATAGAACATATAAGAAATGGTCATGCATTTCAAAATATGGTCATGCATGTACCAGTACCCTTGTATACTGTATGACATATTAGGTCTGTGATCTGACAGGTGCTCTCATTGTTGCCTAACAGATTTACACATCAATGAGATCAGGCCAGCAATGAGATTTCAGGAGGGATCATTGAATTACACATATCTTGGCACTCTTGAATGTCAAAATCAAGCAAAATATGTAAATTCTTACCTGTAAGTTGACATGACAAATCTACTGCTGTCATAGGCTGGAACCAATTCACTATGGGATAAACAAGTATTATGTAAGCTAATGGGAATGATTTTTTTTTCATTGACATTTCAATTCAATAAATAAATAAACATTAATATGATAATTCCATGCATATGCACTACCAAATAGTTTGACATTAGTTTCATGCACCAATTATGGCTCAGTATACAGCTAGACACTATGCTGCAACTATAGATAAATATCCAAACACAAAAAATAGGATCTGCCATTGAGTACCATAAATGCGCCTTACTGGTACTTGCTGTGAAATGTGCAGCAGGAGAAATGCGTGAATGCGATTAACAATGTGTAATTTTGCTAAAATGATCCGAATAAATTGCAGAAAACCAAGAAAAATAAATGTTTTCTGGTTAAATGAGGTCATAATGAAATGTTTCTACTGTTTTAGAGTATCACAGATATTAAGCAAAATTTTAGTTCATGATTACACTTCATAAAGTAGAAGATTTTCAGGAACTAACCTTGTGAAATCAGCAGGTACTGGAGCCGTAACAAAGGAGGCCATGGGTTTCCTGTGAACTTGAGTGAACATTTGTAACAGCTCACTACTTTTACTAACAAGTTCAGATTTCAAACAGGATCTCAGTTGATGTTCTACCTCCTGTAATAATGATTCTAGTAGCTCAGTTTCTTGCGTTAGTTGATTCTTTTGACCTGTGGAATAAGATTAGAAATGCAGGCTGATGATGTTTTTTGAGAGAAAATTTTCCAAAATTCTGTGAATCAAGGGAAACCATGAAATGTTGTAGTAATGAACATTTCACTGGGGTCCTAAAGACAAGAGAGTCAGTAACCTTTGCAAACATTTGTCTTATCAAATTATGAAATGTACGAATGTTGAAGTGGTGAAAAATGGTTTACGAGATTTGTGAAGAGAAAATCAAAAATATCTCATAGAAGTGGGATGACAATACACCATAGAATAGAAATAGAAATTATTATTATTGTACATCTGTCACCATAACACCATGCGTTACAGCGTGCCGTAATTTTGTCGTATTGCAATGGGTATTTTCATCCGTAAACATCCTCTAACAATAAAAACAAACACAGCAGCCCACAGGGTTTGACCGGACCCCATACAAAGAAGTTTTCTCAATCTGTTCTAAACTTTTTTGTATTTCGGCATTCCCATGATGTATCCTTGGGAGGAAAAGATGTATAATAATAAACTTATTACGAGGATCCCTAAAAGTATGCACTCAGACAGTACGCAGCACATCAACCTCCATAGCGCGTCGGTCGTTACTCCCAATGTACTGTCTTTGTGCATACTTTTTGGTATCCTTGTAATAACCTCATACTGTAAAATGACTAATTTTCACTGGGTTTAAATTTCACTGATTTACCATTTCAGGCATATTCAGTGGGTTTTAAATTCACGGTTTCGTCATTTAGATAATGTGTTTTATGCTAAATTTTACATACTCACTGTGTTTTAATTTAGCGCATTTTTCCAGTCAGCGAAATAAGCTAAATTAAAACCCAGTGAATAATTACCCCTTTTACAGTATTACAAATCAGTCACTATCTCCATACATTACAATGTCTCGTAGTATTGCAGTATCAACTTAGTATCTGCATCCAACACATAAAGTAAGCAGTGGCATCACCCTCCATGTGGTTGACAGATACACCTGCTATACTGTCATGATGCATATTTTGGGGTAGCTCACAATAATCTTTTATTACCATGAATACACGGCCTTCTAAGAAAGGTAATCTGCTATGACAGTATGGGCCAAAATAGAATAACATCACAGAGATTCTCTTTCCACAAAGACATTGAATTCTCATATATAGTTAGCTTGTGAGAGTAATGGTAATTCTATTCACACAAAAAGATTAAGGGAGTGTAAATCAAGTCTCACAATCTGCGAGAAAGCGTCAATTCACAATAATGAAAGCAGTAGTAAAGCAATAGAGAAACATACTGAATACAGTAAGCATAAAGACAGAAATATCTTACCCATTAAAGTGATAAGTTTACTTTTTAGTTGCGTTTCTAATCTAGCTATCATCATCTCTACTGCATTTCTTATTTCACGTACACGTTCATCTTTAGCAGTCCTCACACTTTCAACATTACGTTCCTGTGAAAGTATATAAGTAAATGATACATCAAAACATATTCAACACAAAGCTGTCTTTGTCCACAGAAACTGAGCGAATACATTACTTTCAAACTACGATTCTAGGCTTCCACAGTTCCATTATGATACACATTACCTACAATACGTTGCAAGAATCATACTTCTTAATTTACGTTAATTCAATGAGGTGTTTTAAAACACATTTAACATGCTTAAATATCTCTCGTCCGAGACTCCTTACTGAAGGGGAATATTATCAAAGTTATAAAAACACCATGCACCACTACAACAGCAAGAAATGACCATGATCGAATATGGTTGTATAATCACTCATTGGTCAAAATTAAAAATATCACCCAGTTGTTTGATAGGGCAGCTACTCAGAAAATCTAGTTATCCACATCAAAATACAGTTAGTTATCCAATAAAATTATGTGTTTAAAACTTTGAATGGAAAGACAACTTTTGATACCTTTTGAAAATCATGCAATAAATATTTTGTGCAGTTATACTTTTAGTTATTTTGCTTTGAGTCTATTTTGATTCAGGAAACAGAATGTACAAAGTGACAATACACTTCTGTGACATAATTAGTGTAAAATAATGGACGACTTAACAGTGTGGATATTGTTTTGATCTATACAAATTTAAGTATTTGGAGATTTGATATATTTGTCTTTTAGGGATGACTTTGTTTTGAATTGATTTTTGATTATCGTTGATTCAAAGATGTCATTTCCATGATACAGAAGTGCTTCATTGCTAGAGGGTGAGCAGCTTAATAATGGTAATGTCAATTTTTCCCGAATGTACTTCGAGTCGTAATACACATTATCATACATCTGTCACCGTTATGCCATACATGCAAGTTACAGAATGTCGTAATTTAGCGGTATTGGAATGGGTATTTTCATCCTACCATATTAGGAAACATAAATTCCAAATATGGAACAATTATACTCATAAGCATCCTCTAATAATAAAAACAAACATGGCTGCCCCAAGGATTGACTGGACTCCACACAATAAAGTTCCCTAAATCTGTTCTAAACTTTTTGGATTTTGGCATTCCCAGGATTCCCAGAAGAATATTTAGACAGTACGCGGTCGCATCAACCTCCGCTGCGCGTTGGTCGATACTCGCACTGTACTGTCTTTGTGCATACTTTGCAGTATCCTCGTAATAACCTCATAGTATATCCTATATAACATACAAGTGTCGAAACATCTATCAATATTACATACCACTTCCTGTACCAAACTAATCAACTCCATCAGCCTTCTTCTAAGTGCAGCTACTTCCTCTGTGATTTGTGTGACATGCTGTTCATATACTTCATCTAATGGTTTGAACTGATGCCCTGAATGCTGCTAAACATGTTAGGAAGAAAGGAGAAGATATCTGTGATTGGCATGTTACAATGTTATATGAGATGAGAAATACAGACAAAACATATGTGAAACCAGATGCAGTTTGTTCTGTTAGAACACCTTAAAACTGGAAACATTAAATTATTCCCAAATATCAGTTGGGTTCATAATTTTTCCACCACCAGACTTTTTTTTCTTATATTCTTTGAATGTTACTGATCGGTTTGCTATGCACTGAATGCAAGCAGTATCTAAACACAAACTAGCATGCACACACAGTTGGGAAGAAGACCGTTTCTGTCAGTTTGAACTGATTAACTTTTAAATTCCCTGAAACAAGAAAACCATCATAAAAACTATACAGTGAAAAACCACTTAGATTTTGAAACAAAATTAGTAATCAGTTGTTTTAATCTTACATAATTCAGAGCAATCTAAAGTTGTTTACAGAGGAAACAGAGGAAAGCAAGATAGAATGTGTGAAAACTAACTTACCAATCCTCCCCACAATGCACATTGATGACATATACACTTCCTACATGTCCAACAATATACACTTAACTTCTCTTGGTGCATTTCACATCTGAAGAAGAAAAAGAGAAAATTAAAATTAAAATTTCCTGCATAACAGATTACAACAAGACTAAGACCCTGCAAGTTTCATCCCTGTTAATAAAAGTATATCCTTTCCAGTTTGAAAACTTCAAATTTAACACCATGTTATCTTTCTTTCTGAATTAATTCTGGTCAAGCCCAAACTTGTATTTTTTTTTTTATTATGTCTCCAAATAAACAGGGATAACAAAATTTGAAATTTTTGCAGCAATGTTAAGAAAGATTGTGACATCAAGTTCCGAGAGCTTCAGTCATTTCTTGGAATGTTTGCAATCATTTTTGTTATTTATCATTATTGGCAACTTCAACTCCTGATTGTCTGGACTTAAAATTAGATACGCCTAAATTTCTGTTCCAAATATCAGTTATATTGCATAGTTTGTATCATGAGACAGCAATGAACTTTTGTTTTGTTATTGTTTTATTTTTTGTATTTTTATCTTTACAATTACCGGTAGTCACTTTTGTTTACCTTTGAGCGTTAATAAAAATATTATATTAGTAAAAGTGGCATCAACTGTAATCCACTAACAGGTCACATGGCACAAACATACTACATCAGTTTTCAATTAAAAAATGTCATTATTGGCAATAGTGACCTCTAATCCTGTGTGGGTGAATTATTCGTGATTTCTGATTACTTGATTACACACATACATGTAGAGTCATTAGCTAAATAAATAGTGGTAGTATGAGCAATGATATGAACATTACATTTTGTCAACCACAGGGTGTTTATTAATAACACATTCAATTAAACAATATTTTAAGGTCAATGACCTCAACAACCTTCATACAGGAAACAACTTTCTGGACATCAATCTAATTCCCAAAATAGTTTCAGTCACAGAATAATATTTTATAGTTATACAGTCCTTGAAACTACTTTTATTGAAAATATTGCATTCCCAATGTCGTTTCAAAATGACTCTTCTTTACAAGGAAGTACCCGTACAGTAAACCAAATGAGGACAAGTGTTAGGTAAACATATTTTTTTCCAGTGTGGCCATAGATGCATCTTACAATTGGAATTCAGTTCCTGTTTAATCTATGTATATTTTACTAAGTTTGATATCAATATTTTTGATATTTCCTGAAGGTACATGCAGCTGGGTACATGTAAGTACTGGTACCAAATAAGGAATCAAAGCAGTGTACACAATCTTAGAAGGAAGTTACAGCAAAATATAAACCATGCATCTACTAAGTATTACGTATAAAGCATTATGGGAGAAATCTCAAAGAAATGGAAAACTACTATCATCAGTAATTCACCAAGTTTGGTTTTATTTTCGCTTATTTCGCTGATACTTGTAGTTAAATTAAATATCAGTGAATATTAAAATTTAAAGATTCAGAGTTGGCGCTCAGTGAGTGCAGAAAACATTATTTGTTTTAACATGACTGGAGTTTTAAGAATAAACACGATATTTAAAACATAGTTAATATCCCTGCAAAATTAAATCCGCTCAAACTAAACACAGAGCAGTAAAAATATCTTATTTTACAGTATTTGCAAAAGATAAAAATGTATAAATATCAGGATTCCGACTTACTTGTCTTTTTCAATCTCATCTGTTCTTGAAGGTGGTCCGACCAACTGTAAGGTATCCAACTGATTGGTAACATCTGCAGCCCAGCGACAATTCACCAGTTCATGTAGTTGTAAGGGTGCTCTGTTGATCAAAGTTTAATTACACATGGTTCATGAGAAGGCAAATCTAAAGTAATGTCTTTATTATACATGTCAATGTTAGTGCATAACTGTTTTAAAAAATGCTTTAATATCAAATTTTCGTGGTCCCTTACCCACGAGTGTCAGGTATTTTTTCCAGGCAAAAAAAAAATTTATTTATAAAATTGACACAAAATTTTGGACAGTTCAAATATTGCTGTTAGTTTTTGATCAAAAAGGTTTGTCAATTTTTATCAACATTTTATGTGAGAACGATGAGACTTTACAAAATCATTTTGTAAATGGGGCCAAAAGTTAACATTGGCACTCAAATGGTTCAAGACAATGACTTATTGTCCTCACTAATGCCCTTCAAATCCTTAAATCGAGAAAATTCCCAACCGCAAAAAATAAACAATCAGAATTGTAACACATGGTTTTATTTTCACAACACACACTTAATTTCACTATCTATTTATAAAATTGTTATACCAGGTGGACCTGGATGGCATATCTAATTCAGGCTTATACATGTAGCTGTATTAAGTCCAGGCATAATACCAGCCATGTTTTGTCTAAGGATGCTCACTGAAATTACCCAGCTGGGCAGTTAAATATCATCAGCAACTTTTCCCTCAATGTTGATAAATTATAGGCATTTGACCTAATAAATAGGAGCAATAATTTATTATTTGTTTTTTTAATAATTATCAATTTTAACAACCGTAAGTACCAATCTTATAACTACGTTTGTATACATGTAATTGTTTTCATTATATTGTAACAACATTTTGAGATATGATGAGACCTTTTTACCATAAGAACACATGGTAAAATAATTTGTATGGATGTTTGACCTGGGGTTTTGTGGAAAAAAGTAGTTCAGTGACCGTATATTTTTTATCTGGATTTTGTGGATAACAGAATAAAATAAAAATACAAGCATCAAGGGAATCCCATCAATTGTTTTGATGGTAGCCAACGACCCACACATAACCTGTATTCTATCCATGCTGATAAAATATCAACTTTATATGCCGTACCAGCAGTGTTTCCCCAAATGTTATTTGTGCACCACTTGCTCATTGATTTACCCAAGTTGCACAGTGAAATATAATCTGTACAGCTTTTATCTTAATGAGTGGAATGCGATGTGTTATTGTTAATTATAAATACCATGAATAATAATAAATATTTAGGAGTAAAAAAAAATCAATATTTGACAATTTTGATCAGTTGATCAGCCCCCACATTTGCAGGGAACTGTATCGTATACATTGTAACTGACATGACAAAAGTCAAAAATAAATATTAACAGAATAGTATTGTGTCAAGATATTTTTAGCTCAGGATGCATGTGACACATTTTGAGTAAAATCAAATTACTGGAGTTCATCATAAAAGGTCATGTTTAATATACATGTAGAAGTTGTATATTTACAGCGAGTGCAAGATATTTACATACACCTAACTCGCGCACCCG